CCCCCCCCCCCCCCCCCCCCCACCCACCCCCACCGTCCATGGACTACCCTAAAATGGACTATACCACTGAAGTTAAGTGATTAGGGTTAGGAAAGTGAGTGAATCTGGTTCCATTTGATCCTTATACTGGGAAAACTGTCCTGAAACTTGATTCACCCAATTTCCTAGCTAACCCTAATCACTAAACTTCAGCGGTGTAGTCCATTTTAGGGTAGTCCCTATGGGTAGTCCAGAAGGGTAGTCCATGGTTTGGGGGGTCAGTGTTTTGTCCTCCGATCCACCCTTTGTAGTACATTTATTTGACGTCCACTGTACGACTACGACGTGAAACCTCCTAACGCGACATTTCTTGAAGGATGTAACCATAAGACGACGAATTTTCCATTCTCTTTTTGAAACTGGATAAAGTCCTTAAGAACTCAACCCCCCAAAATCGCCTGCATTGATAAATCAAGCGGGTCAAAATAGACGAGATAAAGTTTGAAAGGAGCCCAATTATTATTTTATTTTGGCAACGTTTTCACTACCGTCGTCATCGTCGCTGTTTAAGCTCTCTATTGGCTTTAAATTACATGAACGAAACTTTTGTTGGTGCAATTTGTAAAGTGTGTCAAAACAAATGGGCATTTTTGACCCAGAAATACATAACTACAGAGACAGAACGCTCAGATGTAGCTTGTTCAAAGCTCCAGGTCGTGAAAACTGGTGCGAAAAACGCGCGTGGGTTGAGGAAAGAGAAAGCGCCACCCCGTTCTCCAGGTTACGCGCGTCTTAATTTTCCTTGGTGTTTCTTTTTTGCCACCTCCCTACTATCCGAAAGCCTGGCACAGACTAGCTCAGATCTACTGTAACAGAACAGTAAACTGTAAACGAGCAAAGAAGAGAAGCTGTATTACACAAGGCAGCGAGTCGAGGGTGGAGGGCGGCGGTAGAGAACGGACTTTTCACTCGAGCCAGAAAAATGGAAACCCTATCCATACTAGCCTCCCACGCAGGCGTTTTTAGGGAAGCTCGTATTGAGGGATGAAAAACGAGCTCCCCTAAAAACGCCTGCTTGGGAGGCTATATTCGTACCGGAAAAAGTACCAGTGTGAAAACTGCGGTGGTCTTTACACCACGTGGACGGTTTGTGCATTACGAAGGCACAACAAGTATCATCATTCACTATACCTTATGAATTGCTTGGCATGTGTCGTATATGACATGGGTAGGCTATTAATCAGTGGCAGCTGGATACGGTGGTAATTGGCAGATTTGATTCGGCTCGCATGCCCCAAAAACACTGCGCATGCCTAGTATTAGGGAAACCAACTGCGTTATCCAGGGGATAGTGATTTATCCGGTGGATAGCGTTATTCACCTTTTGAACAACTGGCGCCTGATGGTTATCAGCATCAAATTTCTCCTGGTAATAACAAAGATTCGTCTACCAAAGATGGTCGCTAAAACTAATGACATGAACACATGAATTAACGTCTTACCGACACAAACGGCATGCCTTGGATCCTGTGCACCAGAATCAGCGACAAATCCGATTGGACATTCACATCGGTAAGAGCCAGCGATGTTATTACAAACATGATTGTCTCCACAAGCATCTGGGGACTGGCATTCATCAAAATCTAAGACATTTACAAAAGAAAATTCTTCAGTATTGTTTATCAATCTCTCAAGGTGGTTCAATAAATACTGCGCATGCCTTGATCATCATTAACCCCCGCGGGCCCCGGTTGTTCAAAAGATGGTTAGCGCTACCCATCGGTAAAACGCGATTCATCGGATAAGTATTAGGGAAACCAATGGCGCTAGCCAGTGGATAGCGCGATTCACGTTTTGAACAACTGGCGCCTGATGGTGATCAACATCAAATTTCCCCTGGTACTAAAAAATTAATGACATGAACACATGAATTAACATCTTACCGACACAAACGGTATGCCTTGGATCTTGTGCACCAGAATCAGCAACAAATCCGATTGGACATTCACAACGGTACGAGCCAACGGTATTATTACAGACTTGATTGTCTCCACAAGCATCTGGGGACTGGCATTCATCAAAATCTAAGACAGTTACATAGAAAATTCTTCAGTATTATTTATCAGTCCCTCAAGGTGGTTTAATAAATACTGCGCATGCCTTGATCCTCAATAACCCCCGGGTCCCGGTTGTCGAAAAGATGGATACCGTTATCCATCGGATAAATCACTATCCCTCGGATAAGTGTTAGGGAAACCAATTGCGCTATCCAGTGGATAGTGATTTATCCGGTGGATAGCGCTATTCATCTTTTGATCAACTGGCGCCTGATGGTGATCAGCATCAAATTTCTCCTGGTAATAACAAAGATTCATCTACCAAAGATGGTCACTAAAATTAAGGCCATGAACACATGAATTTTCTTGATAATTAATCAACGAAAATTAATTAATCGACGAAAGATCGCCGCCTGGTTAGCTCAGTTGGGAGAGCAACAAATTGTGCATTTCACTCCGACCGTAGCTCCATTACTTCTTAAAAACTTATAACTTTACTTTTCTGGATTATTTTACTTCTTACCTAAACAAACTGGATTTAGTGGGTCCTGTGGAGCACAACATTCACATCTGTATGATCCAAAGGTGTTATTGCAAACACAGTTGGCTCCACAAGCATCTGGGGACAGGCATTCATCTGAATCTGCAGAATTAACAACGAGAATTCACTAAAAATGACATTATTATGACCAAATGAGGACAAATTGACTAAGACAAGTTAAATATGACATCGTCTATTTGAAATAAGTATAATTAATAGATGCCGCATAATTAGCAATTAATGAATGAGGCTGAGCAGGATATGAAGAATTAAGCAGATCTCGGAGGGTGTTATCCACCTCGGCCCGATAACACCCTCCGAGATCTGCTTGGTTCTTCATATCCTACTCAGCCTCATTCATTAATTGCTAAATAAATTAAAATCTACAAAGGAGGGCTTTATAGAAATTCCTGTTGTATTTTTCATAGAGCCTCTTCACTGACGTGACCCGGAGCTCAGTAAATTTATTGGAGCTAAAGAAAGTTTTTGCATAAGAAAAAGATCCAACTCCCATCACAGGAGCAGTAAGGACACCAAAATGGCGGCCTGACCTCACGTAAAAACATTCTACATTAGAGCAAAGGACGTTTGCTTTCACCTTTACATCACATTTCGTTTGTTGTACTGTTTCGAAGTAACAAATAATACAAGCAAGATTTTTATTGAGGGATAAGATCGCCTTAAAGAGGATTCTGAAAAATGGCCCTCTTCTTTACTCGAACTAAGGGATGTCCGATACCCAAGCACATTGAAATTATAAGCCCTTTTATTAAAAAGCTCTTTTGATAAATGATGCTGTATGAACCGGCCAAGTTTCGGAATAAAAAAAAATTCCTCGACATTCTGTTTTTTATTTATTTATTTTTTTTCGCTTTTCTGTATAAAAAATTACGCTCTTCAGGACAACTTAACCTCTTACCGACACAAACTGGATTCAGTGGGTCTTGCGCACCAGAATCAGGAACAAACCCAGTTAAACATTCACACCTGTACGATCCAACGGTGTTATTACAAACATGATCGGCTCCACAAGCATCTGGGGACTGGCATTCATCTAAATCTAAAAAGTTGCAAGAATATGTCTCCATGAATTTAAGAACAGCGTTAAAGCTTAAAGGCAATAAATAATGCTCATTTATTCGAATAAAGAATAAAAGAAACATGTACAGGCGATTTATAAAAAGTTCCTGCATTGGTCTCATGTATGGAGATACGGAATTCATTGACACGTTGTAGCCCTTCTCTCCATTAAGGCGCAACGGAAAGCTCCACAATTATAGGACAAAAGTTCTCCTTACATATCGGTATTCTTAGGCCCCGTCCACGCGTTGCAATTTTTAATCGTTTCTGCCCTTCCACACGAAACCGCAATAGTGACTGAAAAAGGGTAACAACTTTGATGGGAGCATGCGCGTTTTCTAGTATCCAACATTGTGCTGTAAACGTTTTCGAAAACCTCCCTTTTCTTCGAGCCAACACGAGTACCGCAAAACGGCGTTTTCAAAACTCTTCACTCTGGGGAGCTTTTTGAATGCGTTTGCGGTAACCGTTTTCACCGGATATGTCTGGACAAATTGGCCAGCCGTGGAAAAAATTCCGTTCTTAAACAAAAAACGATATGTGTGGTCGGGGACTTAAAATTCCCACGTTATCGCCGAAATCTTTTCATTTAACTAATTTACCTTAGTTTTAAAGGTGTTCACTTTGAATTAAAAGCAATAGTTTAGCTCTTCCATCAGGTTTACAGACCTCATCTGTCAAGAGGATACCACATGAAATGTTTCCTCCTGAATGTATTTCTCAACAAAGTTTATTTACTTCTTACCAGCACAAACTGGATTAAGTGGGTTCTGTGCAACGCAGACAGAAAATCCAGTGGAGCATTCACATCGGTATGATCCGACGGTGTTATTACAAACAGAATTTGCTCCACAAGCATCCGAGGACAGGCATTCATCAACATCTGTAGAGGTTACAAAGAAAATCTTCCATGAAACGTAGGAATGCTATTAGAAATCAAGGCATAGAGCAATACTAACTATGCACAATGCCTTAAATAGAGATTGCAATTCGAGAATAACACAAAACTGTTCCAGCTTTTCTTTATTGCAGTTTCTGAGGTTTCAAAACTGATATTTAGGGAAATACCAGATTTTGTTTGTCCGCTAAAACTAATCATTATTTACAGGAAAGTTCAAGGTTTGCCTATGTCTACTCTCTGGTTTACACCCAAGACTGTTATGTGTTATTCTTTGCGACCTCCCGGCGTTCCTGATAGTAGGGAGCTTTAGCAACGACGACGGCGACGGCAACCAGGACGTCAAAAAAGCAATAGGTTTATTACGCAAAACAACAACTTTGCACGTGCATCACGCTTTTTTGTACATTTCTTTACCGTCCTTGCACGACTACGACGTGAAAATGCCTAATTGCAAGTTTTATGGAGGACGTAAACAAGCGACGACGAATCTCTTTTTCTCTCTCTAAACTTGAGTACGGTCCTCAAGAAATCAACTCCAGGGAAATTCGCCTACACTTGCCATTTTCAGCTAATTGGAATAAACGCGAAAAAGATTGAAAAAACGGGATTTCATTTTAATACTGACGTTTTCGCTGCCGTTGCCGTCGTCGGAGCTAAAGCTCCCTAGTAACATCCTGAGACTCTACTATGCTTTTATCTTAGACTTCTATACGCAAATGTCTTCAAACACTTCTTTTTCATAAAGTCGAAATACTCTATAGGTCATAAAATAAGCAAAAGTCATTAGGGCACATGTTATGATATTGCACCAAAATGATATGGAAATTCGTCATATATAAATTGAAGATGGACCGACGGATCTCATTGGAATGCTGCTTTGTATAGAATGCACGTGATGCGTTATAGAGCAGGAGGCGCGGACGCAGCAGTGGGAAGTATCTGACCGCCCAACTTTTTGTATGCGTATTTTTATATCGTGAAAGTTAGCATTGTCCTTCTGAAAATAAATAAAAAACCTGGTCTTACGACCCCCAGCAGAGCAATATAGAACTTGGCACCACCCTCTAACTTACAAGACGCCTGGAAATGAAGTCATTGAGTTAGTCTATTCCATATAAAACGGGTCTAAAACATTCTTAAAATACTACTTCTAGTAGACTGAAGCTACCTTTACGTAAGGTTTCGCTCATTAAACCATTTTAGAGACAGGTTATCAAGTTTAACGAAGGCTTAGATTGCCTGCATTGAGGTCGTTTGCCTTCTTGTATGTTAATATAAATTGTTAGTTGATACGCAATTGAATTCTCTTTTGATTATACAATTTAAAAAATGGAGTACGTAATCTCAGTGTATTCAATGACGGTCACCAAGTTTTTTCCCCGAGGGTAACCAATATCTTCAGATTCCGAGTATCAATATTTTATTTAAATTACTTTGTAATCTGGATAAGAAACTTTCGCATTGTTTAGTTCTCAATATGTGTCTGCATAGAACAATTTTCTACATTTCTTACCGATACAAACTGGATTCAGTGGGTCCTGTGCACCAGAATCAGCAGCAAATCCAATTGGACATCCACACCTGTACGAGCCAACGGTGTTATTACAAACATGATTGGCTCCACAAGCATCTGGGAACTGGCATTCATCTAAATCTATGGCGGTCACGAAACAAAAACTCATGAGATGGAGAGAAGCTAATTTTTATGGATCATTATAAGTTTCTGGGAAACTGCCCACCTACCCCTCCCCGAAGCCAACATTAACACTTACTTGTCATTTAAAATCAAAATGTTGGCTTAGGGGAGGGGTAGGTGGGCAGCTTCCCAGAAACGTATAATGCATTTTTATTTACAACTTGAAATGATTGGGGAGAAGAGAAATAACAAGGTTTTCACTATTTCATTATCTCTTCACAAAATCTGTTTCCTCATTCCATTATCACCGCTAAAAGGACACAATAGGGCCATTTATACGAGGAAAAATAAGACGCGTCTTACACAAGACGCGTCTTAAATAAGACGCAAACTTTCCGTATAAACGGCACATTTGGTCTAAAATAAGACGCAGCTTAGCTAAGACGCGTCTTATTAGATAAGACATGCTCGTATAAATGGTACAGTTCTTGTCTTATGTAAGACGCGTCTTATTTTTCCTCGTATAAATGGCCCTAATATTCTATTACTCCAGCACAAAAATCTTTTGCATTCCATCCCCAAAAGGTCCGATTATTCCAAATTTCAAACTCAATTATTTTCGTTAGCCCTGTTCCATTACTCCTCTTCGGTCCGAGATCACGAGCCATGAAGATAGAGCAATAAATAAAAACACTCAATTAGGGCCTGTTTACATGGAGTGGGGGACCCCGGTCTAGTGGGGTTGGTTTCTTTTGTTTTCACACTCTGGGGGACACAAAACAAAAGAAACTTACCCCACTAGACCGGGGTCCCCCACCCCATGTAAACAGGGTCTTATTCTCCAGTTTGGTATATTTAGCAGTCTGTTAAATATACGAAACTGGGTAGAGTTGTTCAAAGCTGGGTGCGAAATTTAAATTCATATTTGAAAGCTTAAAAAGCATTTCAGTTTTAATTCTTTTTGTCGACAAGTTGATGATTGGAAGCTCTAAAACTAACAGTGAAAATTATCCGAGAAAATGCTTTTGAACACGAGAAAAAGAAACCAAGGTTAAATTTAACCCTAGGTTAAGCGCTAATCGGCCTTCGAACAACTGGGCCCTGGAGAATAAAATCTATATATCACGTTTGATAAATATTCTAAATCTTTCAGCTATTCGTGTTGCCTTGACGTAAGAAGGGCAGACAGATGCAATAAACAGTGTCTTACTACACTTAAGGTAACGCATATTGCCGTGAAAATCTACAGCTAAAGCAGCTGAAGTTTACCTTTGAAATCAGCACATTTATTCCTCTCGGGATAAATGAACACCTTTAAAAGAGCTAATTTATCCTCCAAATAAAGAAAGATGGTAAATTTCACGCTTGGTAATTAATAAACACGAAAGATGTGATAATCAGCATCTCGCGAGCGTCTGACAAAGAAAAAGCTTGAGTATCCGACGGTATTCGAAGTTAAATAAATTCATCCTTGTTTTTCAATGGTCGCGTACTCGATCGCCAGTAGCGTTAAGCTCGCGCCACAACAGGACACAACCCGAAATCTCTCAATTCCTTATAACGATGGAATAGCACACATAAGGTTACCTTCTGAATCTCTTTAATGTACTTTCTAAAAAGTTAATTGTTGTTGTTTTATATATTTGCAGTTTTTTTTGTCTTTACTTCTTACCGACGCAAACTGGATTAAGTGGGTTCTGTGTACTGCAGTTAGCAACAAATCCAGTGGGACATTCACATCTGTAGGATCCAACGGTGTTATTACAGACATGATTTACTTCACAAGCATCCGAGGAATGGCATTCATCAAAATCTGCGGAGTTAAAAAAAAAAGGTATCCGTAAAACATAAATAAGCATATTAAATTATACCAAGGTGGATTAGGCAAAATAGAGAGTGTAATCCGCAACACATGTATATTAGCAGAATACTTAAACTGAAAATCATTTAAGCTTTTCAACATTGCAGTTTTTGAGTCTTTAAGACTGTTATTTAGAAAAATTCCAGATTTTATTTTGTTGATTTTATCATTGCTTAACATATGTTAAGGATTACTTATGTTTAATCACCCGCTTACACCCCAGAAACTCTTTAGTATTGTTATTAAAAATAGCATCTTCAGTTTATCCAAGCAAGAAAAGAAAGAAATACTAGAATGCGCAGCAACGGAGAATAACGGTTAAAAAGAATGAAAAACGTTCAGCCACTTATTCTTCAAACTCAACTTTCCTGCAGCCTTTAATTTATTGTCCAAAGAAAAGGAATACAATTGTGTAGTACTTCACTGTATTGGAAGATTCTTCAAGATTACGAGACTTCGTACCAATACAAACTGGAGCTAGCGGGTCCTGAGCACCAGAATCAGCAACAAATCCGATTGGACATTCACACCTATACGACCCAACGGTGTTATTACAAACGTGATTGGCTACACAAGCATCTGGGGACTGGCATTCATCTAAATCTACGAAGGTTGCAACAAAAAATATTCATGAAATGGATAGCTTGGAAGCAATTGTTAATCAAATGGAAAAGGTAAAGCAATAGATACTTCACCACGCATGCATCAAATGGAAAATGGAATTGATAATATATGGTTCTCGAGGGACAATTTAAGAAAGGTCTTTCTTAAGTAATTTAAATTTTGCCGCAAGCAGAAAGCGAAGTGAATTCCACCGTAAAAATTGGACCTGAGCCCCGGATCAATTGAAAACCAAAACCAGGTCAGCGGATAACTTTAAAAATACGTCACCTCAAAGCTACAGTCATGTGACACTGGTCAGTGGATACCCTTTTCTAACAGCTGTCAATTGACCATAACATGAATGTCCAATACCAAGTCAAACACAGATAGTATATGCCTTGTAGTCCAAGCTAGTAAGCGTGCCATTTCACATCCACCAACATGAATGGGTGGATGTACTGACATACTGACGTACGTGAGGACGACTTTGTGAGTACAAAAAATTTCTTGGATGCATAGATAACCAAATTCTCCTATGTATGGTGCGCCGCTTAAACACACACAATTTAAACTCTACACTTTCTTCGACTTTTCATGTAATGCCTTGGTGCGGGGAAAAGTCACATTTATTCCTGCGACACACGGGAACTGCAGCCCTTCCTAGCATTAAAACGACACCGAAAGCCGTCATAACATACAGAAAAACATACTACACCTTAAAAAAGGCACACTTATTACCCACGGAATCAATGAATTATTTCATTTTTTATCTTTGGTATTGGTGACCATGTTCCTATCAGTAGCGTGGCTCCACCCTTGGATATATAACCACAAACAACCACTTTCTTCCAAGACATCGACGATCCGGCGGCTAGCAAACGAAACGTTGGTTTTTAAAACCCTTTACGGGAGCTGTTAACTTACTTAATTACCACAGTTCTTACCGACACAAACTGGATTTAGTGGGTCCTGTGGACCACAAGCAGCAATAAATCCATTGGAACATTCACACCTGTAGGATCCAACGGTGTTGTTACAGACATGACTGGCTCCACAAGCATCTGGAGATTGGCATTCATTAAAATCTGTGCACAAATGTACGTGAACATCATAAACCACTTATTAACCTAGAGTGAGGTCATTGCAGGAAAATCTCAGACCGAGGCCTTGTTGATTGACCGAGCGATAGCAAGGTCGATACATCAAGGCTGAGATTCCTGTAATGACAGAACAGAAGTTAATAGGTTATTTATTATCTGGCCTTTTTAGCGCTATTAAATTTTTAAAAAGAATAAAATAAAAAACACTGGAAGTAATTTTTAACATCCGCTTTCGCGCGCAAGAGGTCATTTGAGGTTGTGTTCACTGAACCGAAACGATGGCGATGCAATTGAAACCACACGACACAGTATTTTTGACAGTGACACGAATTTTGTCCTGTACCTTCGATCTATTAAAACCAATAACTGGCTAGCGGAAAACTCTATAAAAAAAAAACCAAACACGTCACCTCAATGAGTTGCACACTTGACCCCGCGATACAATCATGTGACACTAGTCCACGGATACTTTTTTGACAGCTGTCAATTGGACATAACATGGATGTCCACTATCAAGTTAACACAGAGATTGTATATACCTTGGACACCTTGCCAGTAATTCCCTGTCATTACAAGAAAATTTTACCCGCTCAGCAGCCAATCAGAGCGCTCGTACTATTCATGAGCCATATAATAATACCAATTTAAAAACTCTGACTGATACAGTTAAGTTTGTATGAGAGAGTTGTGCCCATGTTCTAGATCGTTTTAGTTTTTACCTATACAAACTGGATTCAGTGGGTCCTGTACACCGGAATCAGCAACAAATCCGTTTGAGCATTCACACCTGTACGATCCAACGGTGTTATTACAAACATGATTGGCTCCACAAGCATCTGGTGACTGGCATTCATCTAAATCTACCAAAATGACAAAACAAGTGTTCATCAAATGGAAGGAAATCGTTATTTAACAGCCCGATAAGGTAGAGAAATTTAACCAAAAAGTATCAAAAGCGGAACGCTGGTCATTTAACTATTGTCATTAACTTGTCATTGTTTTCATGTGGACTTGTTGAAACCAGCAAAGTGGCTCCACCGTTCTAAATACAAACAACCAACTTATTGTTCCCTTCCCAGTGAAGGAGAGCTAGCACACAAAAAGTTATCTTTTGAATTTCTTTAAAGTAGCTAAATATCTTTGCTAGTAGTTAACTTCTTACCGACACAAACTGGATTTAGAGGACTCTGTGCACCACAGTCAGCAACGAAGCCAGTCAAACATTCACATCTGTATGATCCAACGGTGTTATTACAGACATAATTGACTTCACAAGCATCCGGGGACTGGCATTCATCTCGATCTGTAGAGAGTACAAATTCTCCATAAAATGAGCGCAAGAACTTAACTGGTAAATTTCAAGATCTCGCTCCATGTAAGGTAATTTAAGACAGTATTGGATTGTGGATTCCACGCCATTGATTCCTGATTCCTGATCACCATGGAACGTCCGTTCTGGATTGAAATCGTAAGCGGGATTCCGGATTCCTTGCGCGTAATTTTGGATTCTAACACCCGGGACGTGGTTCCTCGCAAGATGGCTAAGTTTAGCCCAGGATTAAGCCAAATTTTAAGCACGGTTTTCTTGTCTACGAACATGTAACCAAAGCTTAGAAAATACTGTTGAGCCTTTCCTCTGAGATGCAGTTATCATAACACAAAATGTTATTCTAAGCAATGCATAGAAAGGTAAATACAACATCAATCCTGGGTTAGCGCTAATCTGCCTTTCAGGAACAGGGCCCGGATTCCAAACGACAAAATTTCTCCAGATTCCGGATTCCACAATCAAAAATTTCTCGGATTACGGAATCCGGGATTACCTGAGCGTCAGGTTTAAATAGGGCTCATACACCTGTATTCATATACTGATTTGGCTGTATTGTTTCTGTAAAAACTACTTGAAATATAGACATTCCTTATGTAAAACGTGCGACTTGTTTTCGTTTGTCTGTAAAAAAACTTTCCGTCAATTCAATTTCTTTACTTCTTACCGATACAAACTGGATTCAGTGGGTCCTGTGCGCCAGAATCAGCAACAAATCCGTTTGAACATTCACACCTGTACGAGCCAATGGTGTTATTACATACATGATTAGCTCCACAAGCGTCTGGGGACTGGCATTCGTCTAAATCTGCGAAGGTTGCAAAGAAAATTAAACATGAAATTGAGCTAGGAAAGCTGCAATTTAACAATCCGTACTTAAAAGATCGAGCAATAAATGAACCGTTCTTGCTCATGTGATAAATGTTTATGCCATCTTCTAGGAGCAAAGGAAAGTCTGATATTATGCTCAATACACTTTATGTGGCATATTTCTTAATTAAAAACAGATTCGCACGAAGAGATGCTTTTTTTGGTGCTGTTTTTATTCTTTTACCTTTTTATGTATTTATTTATTTATTTTGATTTTGCGAATTGTAATTTCAGTAGTTTAACATGTATTTTTGGTCAAACAAATGACAAAAACCCTAAAGACCTTAAGAAAGTAAAGATTATGATTAAGTGCACCAACTGTTCTGGTACGATGTGTTGTTCCAGTTGGGATGTTACTAGAACGGGGACCGGGTGGGGATAACGAGCACGGGGAACGGGAAAATAAAAAATGGGAACAAAACCTAGCTTGAACCCTGGCCCTAACTGTAACTTCATTCCAATTCTCTGCTGAGTTTCCATTTTTCATTTTCCCGTTTTATTTTAGCAACATCCTTCCAGTTCTGAGCTGTTGCCGTTTATACTGAAGCAAATAGCTTTTTATGTCAGCACGTAAAGCAATTGGGTGTAGAGCGTTTTCACTCACGTGACCAGCATCTACGCAAATTTATGGGAACAAAAGAAAGTGTTTACATAAGAAAAGAGATCAACTCCCACAGGATTAGTTTGGATGGAACACCAACATGGCCGCCGTTTTTTTGTTTTGGGACACCAATATGGCCGCCGTGACGTCATGTGAAAACGCTCTATAGGAATACTAAACACTATAGCTTCAGATTATAAAAGGCATTTTGAATTCACAATAAGGAGGACGCTGCAAACTCTGCTTGACCACTCGTTTGCTGAGACCTGCTACCGGAGCCTGCAAACCATTATCTGAACAATGCCTTGCCGTAAAATCCCATTTATGATGTCATCATAATGGTGTCTTTTTACAAATTGATCATTGTTTTTCACGTTCCCACATTCCGGCAGCAATGTGTGTAATTAGAGACCTTTAGATTGTAAGACAAGAACGACTATGAGTACGAGATTTTCTCAAGACTTAGCAGTGCTCGCGCGTGAACCAGCGTCATCTTGGCGGGAAAACGTGGTAGCCGTTGTCATTCTACTACGAGTTTTAGCGAGAGTGTCGTGTTGGCGGGAATAAGTTATCAAATGTTAGAAGTTTTAGCAATTTGCAATCGGGAGAGGTCTATAAACCTCCTTCAATAACGATAACAGTGCTAACTTTTCTTGTGAAAAAAAGTACAATAAAGAATTCCGGGGTTTTTTTTTTGAGAATACGCGAAAAAGAAAGACTTTAAATCAAATCTCGTACTCGTACTCGTAGTCGTTCTCGAATCTAAAGGTCTTTATTTCATAAACCACACACGTCCAACAACGCTTTCTTTCGTTCCGACAAAAGGCTGGCCGCAAAACGGAATAGCTTTTGAATCTTTTTTACATAGCTAGCTTACCGACACAATCTGGATTTAGAGGGTTCTGTGTACTGCAGTTAGCAAAAAATCCAGTTGAACATTCACATCTGTACGATCCGACGGTGTTATTACAGACAGAATTTGCCCCACAAACATCAGAGGACAGGCATTCATCAACATCTATAGATGGTACCAAGAAAGTTCTCCATAAAACGCAGACAAACTATTATACATGTATACCAAGGTAAAGCAATAGGAGTACACGTCTCTTAAGGTGATTCCCTGGTTTTGCACCGCGCATCTCTTACTGCGCATAACAAGATGGCCGCCGTAAAAAAGAGCATGTGAAGTAACATTATTAAAAGGAAGTTGACTGAAGAGAAACGCTATTGGAATTTTTGCTTGCTGTTGTTTCTTGCCGAGGTGAGACTCAATGTGTTGGGAATGTGCATAAGGTAAGCAGTACGCGTGTTGGTGAGCTCGACTTCCTCTCGGAGAACCTCGACAGTGGATGTTTAACTTGTGATTACTCACTTTGATTTTCATTTAAAGTTTTCTTTATCACATTGTGTCCTAAATGTGATATCTCGATGTAAATTCTGTAAAAACGGATTTTTAAATACTTTCTTCCCCCTTTCACATACATTCTATTTTGAAACTCGCCCTAGTCCTCTCTCAAAAATCGGAGAAAATGCGTTTGGTGCGCACTTTCTGCAGCTCTACCGCAAAAACGAGTACGGTGACCCCCATTTTTTATTTCATGATTTTAATAAGGACAGTGCTTCCTTTCGATGAGAAAATTGGCACAAATCTATGTTCAGTTTTTTGGCAATTTTACAAAATTGTACGGATTGAGGTATCACGGGTCGAATAGCGTGCGTCCAATTTAATTCTACTTTGGAGCGTAAAGTGAAAAAAAGGGCATTAAAAGGCATTTTTCTGGTACGTAAGTGGATAAACAATAAATTAAAGTCAAATTCTGTGCGATACCACATGCATCATCGAAAAAATCTCTCCTTTTGTCTAGTTTTGGGCTGCCCGCGGTTTTTGTAAAAGGGTCCTAAATAGCCGTATTTGTCAGCATTGTGACGTCAAAACTTTTTATTACTGTTTTTATCATCTTCTTGACTTGTTACATCAGTGTACCAAGTTTCATCTACAATCTATGTTAGGTTCTTTTACTAAGGAATCACCTTAAAATAGAAAATATTTATTCATACCATTCACAACAACAACAACAACAACATCAACAACAACGTTATAATTCAAGATCTATAAAACTAACAATATCAGGTTAACTGTTTAAAATATTCTATTAACTAAGTAACGTTCAAACAATTATCTTCATTATCTGGGGCATTAACGAATAGCTTGATTGCTGAAAGAACAAAGACTGTAGAGGAAGGCAGTTTGATTCAATAAGAAAAGGAATTGCATGGTCTCTGGCAAGTAAATCAAACGCAATGCACGTTTTTGCAGAACAAGTAACTTACTGAGGTAGGTCTGTGGACAGTTGCCCTATGCACAGATACCATAATTTAAACAAGATGTAAATTGCATGATTGCATGATATAAGTTGGTTTAGGTTTTCTAGACGTTTATCGACCTTAAAGTAACTAGAAAACCTAAACCAACTAAAAATAGCAAACGACCTTATCTTTATGAGATTCCTCTGCATTTTACTCATGAGAGAAAGACAAAAGGTTATGACGTCATTGGCGTTAATGTATTCCTGCCCAAGTTAATGAAATTCCTGCCCAAAAAAGTGAAGTAACAAGTGCGCCCCATACTACTTACGTAAGTTGTCATTTGCATAGGTTAGACTTGTATCCTTTGCGAATAGATAAAAAGTAAATTCCTTGGAAGATTTATGGATGTCATTAATATGTAGCAAAAATAGCAAGAACAAAAAAAAAGTTCCAAGAACAGAGCCTTGAGGCACTCCACAAAAAATCGTTTCAGTCTCAGATATACATTTGTCTATTTCAGTTGTCTATTTCTTAAAAGGGAATCATCTGATTTTTTAAGGAAAAGTGAAGGAAATTTCAGATTTTATTTCGTCTATATAAAATGTTCTCCTGTATCCTGTTGATAATCTTCCGAGCTAATTATTTTTAAGGAAAATAGCCAATTACGAATATTGGCAAAAAAAATCTTTTAACGGCCCCATATTTAGTCTCCCAATTCATAATATACTACATATCGTTGACGAAAACGTATAGAACGAACTCAAGAAAATTCTTCACGAAAAGTATATAGTCAACAATTGATCAATCAGGTCAAAAACTAGAGTTTAATACCAGCAACTGACGTGATTCAACTCATTTTGACTCTGAAGAAGACGACCGCACAGGTGGTCGAAACATCAGTCGTTGTCAACAATAAACAGTCCTATTCAGGCATGACTTCACTCACACGGACGATCATATTCCGAATACTTATGAAATTACTCCTGTGTCCGTTAAACCATTCACAAATGGTGAAATTAACTGCAGGCTTCCTTTTGTTAACACTGGTACGGTTAGGAGGACTGGGTTATTAGCAAAATACTCAAGATAGCCACCTTAAGGTTCCTTTGTGGTGAGGACAAGAATCATGTGATGTTTAACTTTCGACAATTTCACCGATTCTTAGATCATGTTTCTTCTTACCGATACAAACCAGATTCAGCTGGTCCTGTGCACCAGAATCAGCAACAAATCCATTTAAACATTCACACCTGTACGAGCCAACGGTGTTATTACAAACATGATTGGCTCCACAAGCATCTGGGGACTGGCATTCATCTAAATCTGGAAAGTTACAAAGAGAAATGAATAACCTATTAACCATGCAAGATGATGAAAGCATAATGTACATATATCACAAGCGATTCATACTTAAGATATTTACACATCTCATTTAGCCGATGGACACAACCGATCTCCGCCACGTGACTCAAGGCAGCACGCCTGAACGCAGTAGAAATCTACGAAATGAAATTACCTTTCAAAGCCCTATTCTTTGTCCCCTTGGAACAAATGAATCATTTTCATTTTACTGACCTTTCCGTGTTTTTCATATTACGTAAGCTATCAACAACGGCATCGCTGCAAAATTTCGGCCCTTGCAAGGGTATCTGGATAAAGGAATCTGGGAAATTTTTCCCTGTGAAATCGGCGGGATGCCGAGCTGCCACTAATGATTGGAATCCGGAATTCAGTACCTGGAATCCGGAATCTACGGCATGAGATCCAGAATCCAAGACAGTCGTGGATTCCCTTACATGACGCGAAATATTACCTTAAACCACACTCAAACCAACATCCTTTTATTTCCTTTGACAGAATAGGCCCTTTGCAGCTAGCCATTCACGTACTACAAAACCGCCACGCTGGAGAACAAAAGTCGCACTGGGACAAGACAAACAAAAGACATACATAATTTGAAATGATAATTTTCTTTGTTTGTCTTGTCCCAGTGCGACTTCTGCCCTCCAGCACGGCGGTTTTGTACCACGTGAATGGCTAGCTGCAAAGGGCCTATTTAAATAAACACAGTTTATTAACTTCTTACCGACACAGACTGGATATTGTGGGTTGTGTGGACCGCAGTCGTCAGTAATAAATCCAGTTGAGCATTCACATCTGTACGATCCAACGGTGTTATTACAGACACGATTGGCTCCACAAGCATCTGAGGACTGGCATTCATTAACATCTGTAGTGGGTACGAGACATTTTGCCCGTACACGAACGGAGATACGCTATCAGATAAGCTATCATATAGATAAAGCAATAACGTACATTGTACGGAGAGTTTAAACCTAAAACTTAAAGACAGTAGATTCATATAATACAGAAGAGAACACTTGAATTTTTAATCATTCCACCTTCTTAGCATTGCTATTTCCGAGGTTAATCTGAAACTGCTGTTTAGGGAAATTCCAGGTTTTACAGTTTTCGTCCATAGTTCGCATTATCTAGTATAATTCAAGGCTTTCTTACCATAAGTCTTTGGTTTATACCCGCCTATATATCATATATATATTTTAATTGCTGTTGCTAATAATATTTATAATTTAATATTTTATTATTTAAACCTATGTTCACAATTTACTTCCCGCTCCGTGGATTACAGTCCCCGATCCTTTTTTTTACCTCTGCTTCAATCCCAATACTTGTTCACACTGCACCACAGTTTGGCACAGAGTTTATCCCATATGTAAAGCTCTACTTTAGAGATCAGCTGCGCAGTTGCAGAAATCGCGCCGAAATCACCACTTTTATATTTATGTGAACAGAAGCCCTATCTGGTATGGTTTTTGTGCTGGCGCAAGGGCTATCAGGTAAAGTGTGAATACAGCCTTAGTTCCTCTGGTTTCTCACGTAAAAAGTCGAGTTGTTTTCTTTTGTCTGTATGAGACAAGTCCACTTCTGCAACAGAAGTTACATTCCTACCGACACAAACTGGATTCAGTGGGTCCTGTGCACTAGAATCAGCAGCAAATCCGATTGGACATTCACATCTGTATGATCCGACGGTGTTATTACATACATGATTAGCTCCACAAGCATCTGGGGACTGGCATTCATCTAAATCTACGAAGGTTACAATGGAAATTCCACATAAAATTGAAAGAACCTTCTATTTTTTGTCAATCAAAAGGTAAAGGCCATTAAGCATCTACAACCGCACATGTCTTAAAACTGCGAATAAAGTAAATATTATCACACCTACATGTAAATTATAATTAAACCGACAACGAAATCTGAAGCTCGTCCTTACACATCAAGGTAACCGGCAAAATCGAGAAAACCTACTACAAAGAATAACTTTCAAATCAACACTCTTAGCCACCGCAAAATTGAACGACGTTTATGATTGAACTAGTTGATCCTCATGTGACAATGTTTTCAAAAAAGGTAACCCCATCAGGAAAGAATGGGGGAAAAAAAACGAACAAGCGGCCAACCGTCTTCCAAGTCAGCAGACGAGACGTTCGCGTTCGATTCTGTTCACAGCTACTAACTTAATTTTCAACAGACTTCATGAACTTCTTACCGATACAAACTGGGTTAAGTGGGACCTGTGGACCACAAACAGGAACAAATCCAGTTGTGCATTCACATCTGTACGAGCCAGCGGTGTTGTTACAGGTGTAATTGGCTCCACAAGCATCTAGAGACAGGCATTCATCAAAGTCTAAGGAGGGTAAAGAGGGTACGAGGAAAAGTATTTATAAACATAGAGAATCTGTTTCGATTATCAACGCTTTAGCGGGCGAAGTGAACAGAAACCTGTGGTTTGACATGCCATGTGCTTATCTTGCCTGCAGATCTTAGATACTAACAAATTATAATTACCGAAAAAGTTAACTGTGACGTCATAAATCTGAAACAACTAAAAAACAAACCAGATCATTTAAAGCTAGTCACACAACATAATATAGAACTTGACATCACCAAAACTTCAAGTCAGTCGACGGCAAGCTAAGAAGCTGCAGTAGTTAACGCATCACTGCTTGTTAAGTAAGTAGGAATGCAGATTAATTAATTTGAATTTGATGAGGTACACTGGCTGCGTCGGCGACTAACAGATTCAGGCGATTTCTACAATGGATAGTTTTAAATGTCTAAAGGAAAATATATTGGGTATAGCGGTATTATCACCTGTTCACACGGCGCCAGATAGTGAAACATGCCTACAGTAACCTCATCTGATATGTGACGATCCACTTTGAAGATCGGCCATGGGCAGCTTCGTTTCGCAACATTCTCACATGTGAACAGAGGCTCTATCCGATACAAACGGTTTTTGTGTCGGCAAAAGAGCCAGTGGTGGATGCAGGGGCGGATCCAGGGGACCCGCTTACTTTTAGACGAAACCGAGGCCCGAAGGACCGAAAAAACTACAGGAAGAAGACCGGCCCCTGCTCCCCCTTATCTTAGGGTCTGGATGACACCCACCCTCCTTTCCCCCCCCGCCCCCCTCCCCCCTGTAGACAAAGCCTCATTTTTTTGTAAATAAGCCATTAATAATTAATAGAATCTACGGGGAACGCTTGAGTTTAGCCTGATTGTAATACCCTGTTAGAATTAGAAAGAATCCACCGTAGAAGATACTTCATTCTCGTTGGCGCATCACCGTTTCAGTGCTTTATTTGTTAAAAGTTTACATTATCGAAAAGACCATTGATTGATTCCTTCTTTGCTTGAATGAAGCGTTGCTTGACAGTCTTTTAAAATTCAAGTTTGATCAAACCCTTTGAGTGACGTATCTTGCTCTGCCTTGGTTTGATTGACATCCACCAGAAGCCCATAACTCGGACCGAGCAACTCCCATACTAGGCCTACGTCGCGGCGTTTTTAGGAACCAGTTTATTTTTAGACACATTATAAGGCACTTTTGCCCGCGAAAATAGAATCTGCACCATATCTATGAGCACATTCGAAGTATAAGATATCAAAAAGGAAAACTAAACTTTATTAAAAGGCAGAAATATCATTTCGTGACACGAGCCCATTGAAGTTACTCCCTTTCTCCCGCATCCACAGATATTTTTCTTTGGAAAAACGTTCTAGCCAGGGTTCCTCTGTTTGCTTTGTATGGTTAAGAAACTTTTATATATTTCAGATTAAACTTCTTACCGACACAGACTGGATTCAGTGGGTCCTGTGCACCAGAATCAGCAACAAATCCGATTGAACATTCACACCTGTACGAGCCAACGGTGTTATTACAAACGTGATTGGCTCCACAAGCATCTGGAGACTGGCATTCGTCTAAATCTACGAAAGTAACATGATACGAGAGATGCTATGACTTTTTTTTAAGCCGTGATGGTAGAGCAAAGCAGACTACATATCAATCAAAAGAGAATCGAATTCACATAATTATAAAATATCATGATTTATGTGAGAGATGTTTGCGGTTTCCATGCTGCCTTAATGTAGGAAAGGTGTCATTTATTTGGCAATCTGTACCTCCTCTCTCCCTCTCTACCTCAAGGCACCAGGGAGGTGTGAAAATTTTCAAAGAAGGGTTACCTTACTCAGCTCTTTACTGCGCTTTTCACAAACATGCGAACTCTAAAGTTCAAAAGCCGCCTTCGCAATTGCGTTTTTCGCTGCCGTCAATCATAATTACGATCACAAGCAACGAACCTTGAAACACAGAAACACACAAAACGGATCGAAATCCACCAATCACAAACCTTGACCTTTTGAACCTGTTAAAGAGAACTTTTGTTTCCTAAGAGGTCCGTTAAGATGATTGACGGCAGCGAAAACGCAATCGTCAGTTGGCTTTTGAACTTCAGAATTCGCATGTTTGTGAAAAGCGGAGTAAACATGTTTTGTTCAACTAATATATCTTTCATAAGTGGGTTGAGTATGATCGTCCGGGTGAATGTAGTCCTGAATAGGACTGTTGTCATTGACAGTGATCATACTCATAACTCTTGGGTTCAAACCTTTCACAGTAATATATCTTTCTTACTTTTCAAGTCACCATCTTTTTTTCCAACCGGTACACAGTTTAGCTCAACCGAGATATACAATAAGATTCTAAATAGTAAACTTGTATACCCTGTTTAAAGCTCAAGACCTTGAGGCTGCGTACCTTCCTCTTGAAACCCATACACCCAGTTCAGCGGCAGATAACCATTTAGGCCAAATAAGGAAATGAACCCCCGGGGGAAGGGGGGGGGGGCAGATACAAGCTACAATCTACGGCTTTGCATCTCTTTGCAATGGCTAACCCACTTTCTTAACACAGTTTATGTAGTTCTTACCAACACAACCTGGATTTAGTGAATTCTGTAGACCGCAGTCAGCAACGAAACCATTTGCACAATCACATCTGTATGACCCAAAGGTGTTATTACAGACAGAATTGGCTCCACAAGCATCTGGAGACTGGCATTCATTAACATCTGCAGAAGTTATAAAAATAGTACTCTTAAACGTGTTGAATATACCAAACATCACTAATTTCAGCTTTTCAACATGCAGTATGGGAGGTTTTGGAAACTTATATTTAGACGTAAAAACTTTCAAATTCTTTTCGTTTTTATCTTCAGCACTTATCATTACTTTTCTCCTTACCGATACAAACTGGATTTAGGGGATCCTGTGCGCCAGAATCAGCAACAAATCCGATTGGACATTCACACCTGTACGAGCCAACGGTGTTATTACAGACAGAACTGGCTCCACAAGCATCTGGAGACTTGCATTCATTAACATCTGCAGAAGGTATGATCAAAATACTCTTGAACATGTTAAATATATCAAAAATTAAACATGCACCAGACAATAACTAAATTCTTCGTCACTAATTTCAGCTTTTCAACATTGCAGTATGCGAGGTTTTGGAGACTGATATTTAGAAAAATTCCAGATTTAATTTTGTTCAGATTTCGTTCATCATGAATAATTATTAGCGCCATTATGACCTGTATGAAGCTACCCCTCCCCTCAAACAAAATTGGGGAGAGAGATTTTGTTTGGGGGAAGGTGGCTGTAAACAGCCTAGCCTACCAGTTCTACGGCACCAAGGGTTATCAATATTCATTGCTACGGTGTCATATTCTCCTAAAGTGTGTTTGGAATCCGGACAAGTCTCCTTATGCACGTAAAAACTTTCAAATTCTTTTCGTTTTTATCTTCAGCACTTATCATTACTTTTCTCCTTACCGATACAAACTGGATTTAGGGGATCCTGTGCGCCAGAATCAGCAACAAATCCGACTGGACATTCACACCTGTACGAGCCAAAGGTGTTATTGCAAACAAGATTGGCTCCACAAGCATCTGGGGACTGGCACTCATCAACATCTAAATATCAGTACACACCATAAATTAACCAATGACTACCTTTCTCAGTTTCTAGTCAACTAATCGAAAACCAAGACGTTCATCGACCTTAAAATACCTAGAAAACCTGTCAGACTAGTTAAATAAAACTAGAACATGACAAACAGGTTAAAACCGGTCAAGGCTACGTGTATCTGTTGTTTCTTTGTACTAAAAATATTCAAAAGGGAAGAAGATGAGAATCCTCCACATTTTAGTCATTTGATTTAGACAAAAAGTGATGACGTCATCCATCTTAAACCTGTCAAACAAGTTTTAAAAATAGCACGTGACGTTAACTTAGTGAGAATCCACCGCAGCGTTAATGTATTATTCCGCAAGTTAATGATATTCCTCCGGATAATTTCATCCCTACTGTACTGCTTATATCACTCGTGCTTTTATAGCTTCAAGAATCCACAACAAAAATATGAGCACCTGGGGGCTGGCATCTGGCCACTGGCATTCGTCTAAATCTACGAAGGCTACAAAGAAAATTCACCAGAAACAGCCCCTGCAGAAAAGAGGACAGGCTATCGTCCATCAAGCTTCGAAGAATGGATTGGTATAAATTCATTATATGATCTGGCCGTACGCTCCGGCGCGCAACGTAATCGCAAAAGTATACAAAATCCACTTAATGAAGCAAGTAGGGATGGACCAGCTGGGATACCATTTACATTTTGACAATTTTCACATCTGTACGATCCGACGGTGTTATTACAGACACAACTAGCATCACAGGCATCTTGGAACAGACATTCGTTAACATCTGCAGAGGTTAACAAATTCTCCATTAACAGACAACGCTGATATATTTATGTGCTAAGGTAAAACAATAATACTACAAACCAGTAGTTAGAACAAAGATTACAACCCACATATCACACTTTGTGCATGCTTCACCAAAAAATGAAGATGAAAAAATTAAAAAGAAATAAAGAACAAGAAGAAGAAACGAGGAAAAAAGAAGAAAATCTAAACATGGAAAATTTTTGCTTTAAAAAAAATTTAGTTTGTTTACCCACGAAGAACTTAGTTTAATCGTGTCCGTGCGTTCCAGATCGAATCGCAATTTGGAAGTGTTGGTTTTTGAGGAAAGGGGAAAACCGAAATACCAGGAGAAAAACCTTTTTACCGTTGCGTTTTCACAAAATTCCTCACCGTAAATTCTGAGGAAAAGTTACTGACTAGGGCTAAATTTCGTTTAGTACCTGGTTTAACCAAAGCCGGAAATGTTTCAGAATGAGGAATCTGTTACGCGTCTATTAAGTATGACCCTTTTTAACTGCAGCTGGTCGTGTAAATCTAAAGCTTTGGACATGTACTGTTTTAATTGTCTTTACAAGAAGATTTTACCCTTTGGTCAAGATTCATCTGCATCTTACCTCCTCATGATTTCTGCACTCCTACTTACCTACACAAACTGGATTCAGGGGGTCCTGTACACCAGAATCAGCCGTAAATCCAATTGGACATTCACACCTGTACGACCCAACGGTGTTATTGCAAACATGATTGGCTCCACATGCGTTTTGGGAGTGGCATTCGTCTACATCTAAGGACGTTTAGAGAAGAAATTCTAGATGAATTGGAGTGAGTCACTTGTGATTTCTACAACAAAAAATAGACCTTTAAAGTGGACACTTTTTGTCACCAATAAAACAATAAACGTTTTTCATTCAACTACTTATCCCTGTTTGTTTCAGGTAACCATGTTCTAGCGGGGGGAATGCTGGGAACGGTCGAGGTGTAAGGACGTGTACTTCGGTGCTCCGCCTTTTGGCGTGTTATTCTTTGCAATTCGATGCCTCCAAAAAGTAGGAGTAATCGCTTTGCATCTTTAAAAATGTTTTTATGGCGGAGCTCCGACCAAATAGTCGTCCGGATAGTACAAATAATTAGGAGCACTACCTAAAGGTCTTAGTTCGCACCAGCTCATAACTTTCCATTCCTAGTGAAAAAGCCCGTGTATGCTAGTAGTGTATTGTTTATGCTCTCTCTGTAGTAGTATAATGTCCGTTTGTAGAAGTGGCAGCAATAGGTTTTTTCTTTTTTTTCCTTTTATCGTGTGTGTCGTCTGTATAGTTTTCGTTAGTTGCATCCTTGCTTGGCTTTATAGATATTTGTTACGGTGGATGGTTTTTCAATGCAGGATAATAATAATTGGTTTTCACCATTATAATTCTTAAATATATGTTCATTGAATGTTAGAGGCTTATCAGGGCAAGCTAAACGAAGAGAAATGTTTAATTGGCTAAGGGAGAAAAATTTCCATGTTTTTTTTTTTACAAGAGGTGCACTGTACGAAGGAAACCTGTGATTTATGGCAAAATGAATGGGGTTATAAAGCCTTTTTTAGCTGTGAAAATAGTCGAAGGGCGGGTGTGGCCATTCTGTTTAAAACTAATTTCGATTTCGTTTTAAACAAGGATTACGCAGACCCAGATGGTCGTTTTATCATTTTAGACATTAAGACGGCAGACTTATGTTTTACGCTTGTTAATCTTTACGCTCCAAATAAGGATGACCCCCATTTCTTCCAAAATGTTAAAAACCGAATACTTGAATTTGATTGCGATAACATCATCTTGGGTGGAGATTTTACCTTGATTAAAAATGCTAAATTAAACAAGGAAGGTGGCATTCTCGGCACCTCGCACCCGAAAGCGCTCACCGAAGTAGAAAAAATTCAAATTAACCTTGACCTAGGCGATATCTGGCGTGACCAAAATCCCCTTGACAAGAGATTTACATGGAGAAGGCGTA